ATATAACTGTCAATGATGGACCAAATATTGTACCATAGGCCGCTGGCCTACACATGTACATGAATAAAGAATTGAGTCTACATATTGATATAAGACTTTATCACTGTATCCAATTCCAAAATTTTAGATATAAACTTTCGGACAGTTCAGTTAAAAATTCTTCAACCTTTAATACATCACAGGATTTGTAGCTAGACGACGGGAATCTACGGTCTTGACTGTGTGTTTTCTTTGATGAGAATGTTTCTCACCGACCTTAGCCTGTAGGGGTGTGATGTCCTGGGCAGAAAATGACAGTGTTTTGACTACTCGTCTTTCATTAATTAACATGTTGGGCATCCCTAATTAACCTTTACTAATTCATGTTAAACCAACACAGGATGTTTTCTGGAAGTGGACAATCGCGAATGTCATAGGGCTGACACGACACGTGTTAATAACTGTCCTAGAACTTCTAAAGTTACTAAACCTTCTTTATATCTAACGACTAGTATTATATCTACCTATATACCACTTTATTGTCTCATATTGCGGTAGTTAAAGAAAACACAGTGCTCAAAGTGAAGCCCATCGTCTCTATCGGAAGTGTTTGGCAACTATTGAACTGCATGGCAAGTATTTATAAAACGACCGGGGGAGAAAATATTCTGGGGGGAGATTTTATTTCGTAGGGTGGGGGAGAGTTTATTTCGAGAGGGGCGGAACTGTACCGGTATAAATTCGCCGGGGGGAGATTTTATTCTGGGGGCGAATATATTTCGTGACACCGGCACTCCTCGACACCTCCTTGGCACAGATTGCACAAGTCGTCGGATTTTTTCGTGGGGAATTTTATTCTGGGGGCGAATATATTTCGTGACACCGGCACTGCTCGACACCTCCTTGGCACAGATTGCACAAGTCGTCGGATTTTTTCGTGGGGAATTCTTCGCCATTCCTCCTGTAAGGCGTTGGCAAGTTGTGCCAGTGTGTGGGGACGCTGGTGACGTTGACGGACGCGTCAAACAAGTTCGTCCCACAGATGTTCAATCGGGTTGAGATCAGGCGATTTGGACAGCCATGCAAGGAAATTAACTGTTGCACGTGCTGGGTGGGACCGAGCGTTGTCATGTTGGAACAGCTCCCTCTGGCGGTCCAAAATTGGGAGGAGGTGAGGACGCAGAATTTGGTCTATGCATCGGTTTGCTGTAAGATTGCCCTGGACATCCACTAACTGTGATCTACCCTTGTAGGATATGGCTCCCCAAACCATGACACTCCCTCCACCAAATCGGTCCACCTGTCAAACGCAGTTCGGCGCAAAACGCTCATGTCGACATCGGCATACACATTGTCTCATCGCTGAACAAAACGCGTCGCAAGTTCCTGAGATCCCATGCCCGTACTCTGTTGCACTAACCGGACGCGTCGTTGACGGTGTAGACTTCGCAAGGCAGGTCCAACTTATGGTCGTCTCGCTCGAATTCCAACTTCCCTCAGATGAAGAATTCTTCGCATACCAGTCACTTGTCCTGCAGTGTCCGTTGCTGTAGTAAATCGATTCCGAGGGTGATGCAACCGGACGTACCGATCCTGAGCAGGGCCCGGGGTGGTCACATTTGGTCTTCCACTTCTTGGATGATCTTGAGTCGAATTAGTGCGGGTATATCGATCATATAGTCGAGATATGGTGCTTTGGTGAACGTTGAAGTGTCTTGCAACGGCAGAGTGGGACTCCACTGCTTCCAAACGTCCAATGGCGATATTTCGGTCAGCTGCAGTTAATCTTTGCATTTTTCTCCGTTCACGTCAGAAAATTCGTAATGAACTGATGAATTTTGTACGGTCTTTTATACTCAGTATCTCTACTCTTGTTTCCAACGTTTTGCACGTGCATTGTGCGGAAAACTTTTTCTGAAAGCAATTTCCGTGCATCCTTTGCATTTTTGCTGATAAACGTTTACAAAAAAAACATTTTGAGATGGGTTTGCCCGCAATGCACAACAAATATGACATGATTAACGGGAATTGTCTTTATGACGATGAGTGAATGTCTTGATAACTTCACATTAAATTTTTTTTTACGGCTATAACCAAATAAGATACAACTTATTGTCCGATAGAGATAACTGTGCATAGCGGAGAGATATGTTATCTCAAGAAACTTAGTGACATGGTTTGGTTTGACGTCTTGGGGCGTGTTTGAATTCCAATAACAGGTTTCATATCCTAAAACTGACTTATCCGTAAATCTCGCTGCACTGCGAGCGACAGATACTAGAGCAAGTCATGCAAGAAATACGGAACCTATTGCTCCCAAAAGGAAGCCTTGGGCATCACGTGTGTCAGGTGCCCAGTGCCATCTGATTGGCCAATAATAATTGTACACGGCGGGGCAAAAAGCATCGTATTTTCCGTCCATTTTACGCTTGAAACACTATACGCTTTTCCGGGCACTTTCTGGACGCTCAACAATTAATCAATTTTAATGAATTTTCAGTTGTGTTTTCGTCCAATGACCATATACGAAAGAAAACGGCGTTTACGTATTTGCAGTGTTGTGTATCGGGGTTGCACATCTCCAGGTGCCAATACGGGACCACAGCATGCTAATACATTTTGTATTTTACGAAAAGACAATGGTTGGATAATCCAAATAATAATTGATATCATATCAGATATACCAATACTGCCATTGTTAGAGTTGTGCTAACTTAGGTTAAGGCAGCTTGCATGTGTAAAATGTAAATACAATGTTAAAGGAATTAAAAGGAATAAAGAAATGAATTTTGTCAGCATAATTGTAACATAGGAAGGCACAGTTTTATTCAGGAATATCACTTGCACTGTCAGGCTTTCATTTGGAACTGAGTAGATATTATTCCAACTTTTATCATAATATGCTTTCTTTAACTATGTCCAAAAGAACGTACGCATATACCTTACAGAAATAATATATTGCTTAATTAAGCGGACGACAAACAAATTCGCTCTTTTAAATAGTCTTATATTTCAAGTTAATATAAACATCAACGCCAGAGAATAACCAGTCTCGTTCTTCCGACGAAACAGATTTGTTTAGGCGTAAAAGGCAAAATAGCGTTGGAAAACGATTTGAACGGATCACTGAAAATCAGTGATGACCACAAGGGTTCGCGAGAAGAATACCTATGGCCTGTTCTACAGGTAACACTTCCGATTCACACAATTTGCCTGAAACATATGTGTTTGTTTGTTGCCCGATGCAGCAAAGCTGTACTCATCACATGGCATGTAGTGAGTGACGAGCGAATGCTTTAACCACTAGGCTACACGACCGCCCTACATGGCATGTAAACAAACCAGACAATAAAGTGATGGACCAGGTATCCAATCACGCGATAGTGCATTTACTGATGTCACTGAAATTAAAAGCTATGTGTTACTTTGAATTACGTCGGCTGTGTACCAGTGCAGAGATTCTGCTGCTTATAGTAAAGAAAACCTACCATGTAGTATATTTAACGTTACAATTTGGTTACTTCAGATTGTGTTATTGAATTATATTGGTTACCGATAAAGAAAGTTATATGTTGCATTCCTTTCGACATATGCATGTAGCACAGTATTGGCCTCACCGTACGGGCACTTAATTTCATTGCTGAACATTTTATATTTGATATTGGACGATGATAAATCTAAAACGTTAGGAACGACGGAGGTAAAACTGAAGAGCGAAGCTTTTAGGCTGGGAGCTGTCGGGCCTTAACACGCCTTTCTTCGCGTTATATTACTAAGCCATACAATATGTGCCATAAAATTGAAATGTCACTTATGCAAACAATCAACGAACCTGTTTAAAGTATGTTACTTAAAATAGGTGTCAGGGTGACTATATAGTGATGGTTCACATCGCACATTATTACAAAGACATATAGAATAGCATTAGTTATTATGCATTAGATAATAACGTATTCGTTTGTGCTAAACTATTGTGAATATGTACTGCCATAGTTAGACGTATCAGTATATTGATGTTGGTCAGCACCCTTTTCAATAGAACGACAATGTAAATAGAAAAGAATGAAAATGGAAAATGCAGCATCTGCATATCACAACTTCGTAATGACGACTTGAACCAATCAATGCATGACAAGCACACACGTCTTTTATGGCAAACCACTTATTTTTTCAAATATGCCCATGAAGACAATGCCGCCACAGATATTTAATGTTAATGACATGGCCCGAGAGCTGACTGTGCCAGGTCCATGACCACACTACACACCCCCTACGCCCAAACCCCAACCCCAACCCCTTCACACGCACCCTCACACCCACACACGATAACACGCCAACACATACACACGCACGCACGCACGCACGCACGCACGCACGCACGCACGCACGCACACACACACACACACACACACACATACACACACACACACACACACACATAAAAAAACACAACCTACTACCTTCCTGCGGTATGTTTTATATACATAAGTTATCAATCCATTTTGTTGTTTTTAGGGTTGTGTTCAGCAGGGATTCACAATATTGTATATAGAGGTTGCACATCGCCAGTCAAGGGTAGTGATGTGTATGGTGGTTACATGTAACTGACTGAAGAACAAATATGTGTCAGTTGTTTTGGTTCCACCTACCGTTTCGAACAGAAGGCAATACTGACCACAGCATGCTAATACATGCCGCCACATATATTTTATGTTAATGACATGGCCCGAGAGCTGACTGTGCCAGGTCCACCAACATCATCTCCAGGCCACCCTACACACCCCCTAACAGCCAACCCCAACCCCCACACACGCACCCTCACCCCCCACACACGCTAAGATAGCAACACATATACACATATATAGACACACACACACACACACACACACACACACACACACACACACACACACACACACATACACACACACACATCCTGCTGCCTTTCTGTGGTATGTTTTATATACATAAGCTATCAATCCACCAATCTATCCATTTATACAATGTTGTCTTTATTTCAGATATTGCATGTTTTCATGGATTTAGAGTGATTGACTGGTGCGGCAGAGACGGCTCATTGAGGTTTATCTACGATATGATGCTGATGACATGTCATCACTGGCTTCAGAAACCGCTAAGGAGTATACAGGTAATAATACAAACTGCTATCGTAATATTGCCACCAGTTTGCACTACTTAAGAATATTTGAATAATAATTTCAGCAATACCAGGTTAGGAAGAATTAAAATTTACTTTGAACACATACTTTTTTTTAGATGCAATGCGTATCGACGGATTAAAAATGAAAGCTTCACGTTCAATGACAGTTTGTTTTCCTGTGCAAGTTTTCCAACAATGAAATGTTCAAGACCAGAGTTAGGGTACATTATGCGTAACATATTATAGTTGAAGTATACTAATTAACGAGTTAGCAAGTGTCTGTTTTTGAATGCCACAGCAATATTCTAGTTAAGCCCTGGTAAACTTGAATGTATCAAGTCTGGATAACCAAATCACTGATAATGAGAAGTATGAGAAACGTTGCATGGCACTGGGTACGCCAACGCGTCATCATCATAGTTACAGAGCATGATCAACAGATACCATGTTATTAGTTCTGATTCGTTTGCAGGGACAGTTTAGAAATAGGTGGTGTGTACATGTCTTGTTATATAAGGTGGTAGTTGCAATACATGTTTTCAGTATGTCAGAGTATTTTTCAAATATTTCAGTCTAACGTTTCCATTTCCAGATGGATGCACTAAATGTCAGGCAGTAGGACGATCATACAAGAGTCACTACAACGGTCCTAATATTCTTCTTCTTCATACAACCCGGTCTATCGTTTGTGCTGGAAAGAAATCTGGACAACTTTTAGAAAAGAAAAAGAAAACTCTTGCCAGAATAGGGAAGATCGTCTCAGCTTGGAGGAACAGCGGAGGGGGTCATCTTCTGATCCACGTGGAGGGTCAAATACCCGAGGACAGGTGTCTGGAACAGTTTGATGAGTTCATCACAAGGAGTCTGTCTGATCTCATTGATGACGGAGAGTTATATGTAGACACATACAGGCGACATTGGCTCTCTGATTTACATAAGTTTCAAGGCAATACTGACTACGTTTTAGTTAATGTGAAGGAAACGAACGGGATAGCTACTGTGGATTTTAATACGAAAGTGAGGAACGATATTGAAAACTTACCAGTAACGTCTGTCAATTTGGCTAAATGTATGTTCAACAGACCGAGAAATACAGATACCACCAAGACAAAAGGTTTATGTGAAAATATTCAAGATCTCCATGAAAGCAGGAATATTGAGATAAAAGGATTCCATGTTGGCAAACTGAAGAATCAAACAGTACAAAAACTTTCCAGAAGTCTTTCAGATTTTGTTGATTATATATGGCATGATCTCAAACTTAAGGATAATCTGACCTCTATGTCCAAGGTTGAGGGAGGTGGGTCATACTATGTTGGGATAAGTGAGGACACTCTGGACATTGAGAGTTACAGAACTAAACTTCTTAACATTGACGGGTTTTGCATGTCATTTGATGAATCTGAGATCATCAGAGCCATTAAAGCTAAACTTCAAAGTGACACAATAGCCTTACAGAAGGACACATTCCGTAGTGTCCCTGACGATTTGATTGAAGTGCAGTTACATCCATTACCGGGAACTGAGAGACGTGTTCTAGAGATAGCTGTCCGCTATTATGATGGGATTATCTTCAATGACAAGGACGGACCAAGGGCATATGAAGTAAAGGACAACGCTATACATCGGATGGACAAAGCTACCTGGTTAGGGCGTTTTAAAGCAACAAATAAATAATTCAAGGGACGTTCAACATGGCAGATCAGTTGGAGTGTCCCAGCAAGACGAGTGACAGTGACGAGAGTGATGACTCTAGTGTGCCCAGCAGGTACAGCTCAGAAGGAGACATTCCTTTACCGACCTATGATGTCTTCTCCGACTCGGACGACGCGGTAACAGGTTTAATGACTTCAGGTAAGGCTTTATCGCCATTTTTTTTAAAATATGGTCTATATATGATTCCTAATGTTAATCTTTGTAAACTTTGAAAGCAAATAATTTTTCTTCACCTGTTTCAGGTTGCATGCTCCCTTCAAGCAATCTCTCTATCACAGAACAAAGAAATATTGGGAGGATACTATCTGATGAAGCGAGACAGCCATGTACGGATTAGTAGATCTTGTAGTGGCAATATTATAGGTAATGTTTTTCACCATCAATAATATTGGCTGTCACTCTCAAAGAATTATAGATGATTGTGTGTATTGTGCTTGTGTGATGTGTGTCTGTGTACGTCCATGTGTGACTGACTGCCTTATTAATTTCATAACATGCAGTATTTGTGTATGACAAATGACGCATAAAGACTTTAATTAATTTGACCAAACCCAAGCCACTTTATTTTATATTTAATGCTAAGCCATACGGGTATGCCACTGTAATGTTCAATTTAATGAGCATCTGTTTCAATGTAACACATTTACATGTATTTTATGAAACTGTCAGATAAGAAATAGTGCATCAATGTTTGTTTATGTTTATGTATTCAAATTTTCTTTCTTCGCTTACTGCCTTGCAACGATGGCTAGCGTATACGTGGGCTGAACATGTGTGACTCAGACAGACAGATTTACTTCGTATATGAGGCCAATAGTACAATTTTGTTGCAGGAACATTCTTGTTCAGCATTTTATATTGCATCTGAAAAGATGTACACATTTGAGTTTAATTAATATTCAATGTATCATCCTTCCTTCCAATATCGCGTTAACAGAAACTGCAAGTCTGAGAAGAATGTGGCTATTTGTGCTGTTCATTAACTGTACAACGTTTCTTTGTGTTGGATGAATGTAATAATAGTTAGGCAGGAATTTGATTCTTATATATTATCTTTAGCTTACCTTTATATATACTTCTTAGTAGTGTGCTTATCTTACCATGAATAGCTTTACCGAGCAACCGTGTGTGACTCAATTCATAATGATAAATTTTTGCGATGGTTGTTTTAGTCTTTTGCATCTTCCCGGCCGTTATTGAAGGCATTCTCACGACAGAGTATGCCCACATTGTACAGAGGCTGAGAGAGCTACCAGGCAGAGATCGTACAGTCATCATCTCAGCAGGCAGCTTACTGAAGATGGTGAACCCCTCCTGGGAGGGGCGAGTACCTGCGTCTGTCCTGTGTGATGTGTGTGTATTTTCCCCTACACGGCCTGTCTTGGTGCTGACTTTCACAGCTATGGATGGGGACAACCAGAAGCACATTCAATACAACACCATGTTGGCGAGATTGATCATACAGCATGTGAAGGAGGATACAAAGTTTGATTTCAATGTTGTACATGAGACTGTAGACAACATTGTATGTCAGGAGAAACATGGTTTTCTTACGAGGATCGACCAATGTGAGAATTCAGCCAAAAGCATCTGTTTCCCTGCCGAACTGCACATGGATCACGACAAGTGTACTGCCATTATACAGTCTTTCCTGAACTACCTGTCTGGTAACGAGTTAACGAGGCGTTCACCATCTAGTGAGGATAAAGCTGGTGTGAAGATCATTTCCAAACCGGATGTATGTATACATATTATTCTGCAAGCCAAATAATTACAAACAAGTTCAATCCTCAAGACTTAATTTTAGGATTTGATAGACCTTCATATGGAAACTGGTTGAAGTAAGGAAATGTTTCAGGTTTTTCAAAAGCGTCGTCGTTTGCTTTCAACAGCTGAACAAGGCCTGGTGCAATTTATATATTTATGAATATTATGACTTTGCATTGCCCATTGGCATCCATATATTAGGATTATTGTTGATACAGTATGAAACTGTGAAATAGATGCACTGAAAGATGTGAGGCATCAAGGTATTTGTTTCTATGATTTATAAAGGGTATTTTGAACCTTAAATGTTTGATTTTATTAGAAATACATGCTTGCTATTATTTTACCCTATTATTTATTATCACTGGACACCTGAAATAATATCATTAGAAATCACCACTTTCCGTTACATTTATATTGGATTTGTACACATACAAAAGGAGTGCAACGGGCATATGATGCATTCAAACTTTTTGGCGCCTAAAGGTTTAGTCTCACCCTACCCAGTCAAAAAATGTTGTTATCCATCCATTTTCATATGTTTTTTATTACCATTTTTAGGCACTTGATGAATTACGACAACACTTACTGTCAGTTGAGGTGGCTCAGGAACACAAGATCAGCGAAGTCAATCACCATCATGAAATGAAGCTATCACAACTGATGGACCAACATGCTCAGCAAAAGGACAGATTGGAGAAAGAAATAGAAGAATTCTTTCTGCAGCTTCAGCAGGAAAGAAAAGACAAAACAGTTGGTAAGTTATATTAGTTTGACATGTGTAAACCGTAATTAAGGCTCACAGTTTAAGCTTGTGAAACCCTTCAGGTTGTGATTATTTTATGTATATGTATTTTTATTATACCTGATTGAATCCTTTATTCAAAATAATTTCATAAAACCCGTCTTTTATATATCTTGATACAAAACTCAAAAGGAGAAAGGTATATGCTGACAATGCCAGGATTTCACAAACGGCTACTTAATATACAATACGTAAAAGCAAATCACACCCTCATTATGGTGCTGCAAGCTTGACACGGATGACTGTGATCAGCCATTTTGTGAGTTAACAGTGCTCTGGGTAGACTTAACGTTCAAGCCCAGTCGTCTAAGGCGCCGCGATTCTCTGTACAGAGTTACGTCCCTTAGGCACGCCAGAAACCGATGATTGTGGGTTCGAATCCCGGTTCGCCCCAATTATGTTTCTAGGTTGGTCAGCACCATACCCGTGCTCGCGGGTTTCACCAAAGTGGTAAACGTCTGAGACCTGCATCACTTCGGGCTTTCCTCCAACATTAAGCTGATATGACTGGAATACTGTTAAAAGCGACATTAAACCCAACTCGCTCACTCACTACAATATTATGACTAGACGTTTTTGACAGAGCATCGACTATGATAATGAAGGAATGAAGTAAACTGTTGGTGGCCATTATTTTATTTTCACAGAACCACAACGTTTGGACGTTCGTACCAGAACATCAAGCAAGTAAGGCACCCTTTAAATCTTACTATACTAAATTATGAACAATGGAATTAGTATTGATTTTATCTTTACAACTTTTATCTTTATCTATGCATTTAGTTCAGCGTTGTGCTTTGAGTAATGGTGGTGATTTGGAAAACAGTTTCACTTACATAACAACTCTGATCCTGATTCTGGCCTTGCATTGCATTTTGGTTCACATTGATGATCAAAATGGTTACTTAAATGTTATAAGACTTCTAAGGAACAAACCAATTAATATTCTATGCAAACAATATATTTTTGTACTAAAGATTATTAACCTAAATATACACCTCGACAAATATTGCACCATCAAATTTGAAGTGTAATTTTCAGTGTATTGCTTTTCAAACGGTACACTGTGTGTTGAAATATCATCTGCCAATAGAATGGTAGCCACCTGCTCAATCCTGTGGGTGAGTTTATGCGATCCGTATGCACACCTAATGGCTCTCTATTGAGAACTCAATGTTTGATTACAGAACGTTCAAGCGTCTTTACTTCTATTAAATTTGAATGAAAGTTCTACTAATTTGAACTTTTGTCTTTGTGAACTGAAATGCTTAATAGTCCATGAGACAGATCCAATTGTTAATAAGAAGAACCAACTGGGGTGGTACAATCTCCCTATGATTTTTTCAAAGTCATATATCCATAGATAAAGACTTTGAAAGCAACCCGGGACTCACAGCTTAGTGGTAGTTATCATTACATTAAGGTGGACACCTTAATCGAATCCAAGGTTCCAGATTTCGGGGTAGGGGAAACTAGAAAGTTGAAAAACTTCACAAGCAATAGCCACATAGTGACGTATGACCTCTCAAACATGATAGCCTGATCCCCAACACGTAATATAGTAGTAATTGGGTAGTTATGTAGGTTACCAGAGGTCAGAAAATACACCACGGATACCACACCAATTGCACTCTTATAATCAAAATGGGTTATAATTGAAGCCTAGAAGAACATTTATTGTATTTTGTGCTGTATTACAGATGGGTTTTTGATGCAGTTTATAAAAAAATGTTATTTTGCGCTAAAACAAGCAAAAATGTATGAAGTTGGACTGCTAAGCATGAATCCATAACTCTTCACTCCAAGTTGTAACAGCATGTGGGGCGGTCGGGTAGCCTAGTGGTTAAAGCGTTCGCTCGTCACGCTGAAGACCCGGGTTCGATTCCCGACATGGGTACAATGTGTGAAGCCCATTTCTGGTGTCCCCCGCCGTGATATTGCTGGAATATTGCTAAAAGCGGCGTAAAACCATACTCAGTCAGTCAGTGTAACAGCATGTCCTAAATGTATTCAGAAGTTGTTGTTATGTTTTGTTAGGCACATAAGATAAAACTGAAGGTCCAAGTAAGGTCAAGTTGAAAATATCAACCAAATACCAATAACATAAAATGCAACTCTGTTGCATTATTGATATTGATATTTGATAAAGATCACACAATTAGACTGTCAGCTTTATCACATTAGTGTTAAAACATAAGGCTTGATGCTTGGACAGACTCTGATTATTCGTCATCTGAACTATCATCACATACGCCCAATTGAAGCGATTGACAAAGCACTCTGTCGTCATAAGTTGTCACTGAGTGAAGAAAGTTCAACCAAGTGTCCAAGTAACATTGGTGTTTGATAACTTCGACCGACTCAGGTGACACTGAGTGGAGGAGGAACATCACACTGAGTGAATGGAATCGTAGTGCAGCCAAAGTTATTTGGTCCAAATCATTTGAAGTTTGTCCTGAATGAACCATGGGTCATGGACCATGAGCATACTTTCCCAGAACATCAAAGATGTCAAATAATTGGCTAGCAGCACATTGGCATGTCATGTGGCCATTCCACCGTCTTGAGCATTGATGATGCTGTAATCAGTCTACTCATTACATATTGGCATATGGGGGAATTGGTGATATCAGGACGTCTACGGCAGACCACTGCCAGAGAGGACAGGGTCTTTTTTCGCCAGGCAAGACGGCGGTCAACTTCAACTTTCAGCTTCAACTTCGTCATCACTGGCATACCCACAACAGAGCGTCCCTCAGGACTATCAGACGTTGACTGAAAGCAGGAGGATTAATGGCAAGAAGACCGATAAAACGCCCACTCCTTTCATTCCAACACACACTGATGTCACGACTCGTGTCTTAAGGCAAAGAGGAACATCTCATCATCAGCGCAACATCCAGGAAACAGTGGCATGTGGTGGCGGCCCAATGATTGTGTGGGGGTGTTGCACCTTTGGTTGTAAACTTGATGTGGTCACAGTTTAGGGGACATTAAGGGGACAAAGGTACCAAGATACCATATTGGGCGAATATGTTGTGCCTTATTTTGACTACCATGCACTTGCCACATGTCCTGTCATCATGGACAACAATGCCCGACACCACGGAACACTTTTTGCTCAGCAAAGAGGAAAGTTATCATCCGTGATCACCTCAGCACAGATGTCCAACTCCCCTTACTCCCCTCCTTTACATGGATGACCTTGAACTTACTGCCTGTGGAGGATCCACACCAGAAAAACAGATTTTCTTTGTCGTCTCCATTACTAATGATATCGGTATGTCCTTTGGACTCAATGCAACATTCTTCATCAGTCAGTTTACTTGGAGGAGGAGTTATTTAGTGGAAGGTCAGGCCTATAGGGATGCAGATTAGGGACAAACTCCAAAATGCCCATATCAAGGAAAGACTTCAGGCAGAGTACAAATGTAGACTTTAGAGTTCAGAGCTGAAGGCTCGCAATAAAGTTCAAGCCACAAATATTTATGTTGTACCCGTCCTTTCATATTCTTTTAATGTTGTTGGTAGGACGAAGCAAGAAATTCAGAGTATTGACACTCTCACGTGAAGAATTATGTCAGATGATAGATCCCATCACCCATGCTCTTCCCTCAATCGCTAAGATTTACCAATCATTATGGAGGACCTGGCTTGATTAACATTGGGATTCTTCAGGATAGTATTATTTTTTTGCACTTTTGCACACATTTATTTGTCTGATCATCCTCTTGTGAAGCATGTCAAGACTCATGATGAAAACAAGGCATTACACAATTTCCTTACACGAGAGAAGTATATGGGACATAATCTCAAAGTCAGTGTTGATTTTGTTGATGGTTCTGTACTGCTGGACGGTACAGAAATGAGTGTCAACCAAGTGAAGTGCCATATCAAATCATCCCCGATTCAGTATTTCAAGGAGAGGCTATCTGAATGACCACTGCATCGAGTTTATGTGAAGTGTGTTGAGAGGGTCAGCAACCCTACAGAATCTTTCGCTTGGATGAGGTCGGCTGGCCTGAAAAGTGAAACAGAAGGCTTTCTGTTTGCTGCTAAGGACCAGTCATTTCCCACTCGAAACCGTCAATGTGTGATGTTGCATCAAAATGTAGATATGAAATGTAGATTATGTAATGAATTTAATGAGACTGTACACAACATTGTCAGTGGATGCCCAGCTTTGGCAGACACACAGTATCTTAAGCGACATGATGATGTAGCTCGATCAATTTATTATCGTCTTCGCCATGCTTGTGCGTTTGACACACAGGTCAATCCATTGCACGACCCAGAATATGTAGAGGGTGTCATGGAAAATGATATATACAAAATTCTTTGGAATAGGACCGTTTACAACCTCAGACGCATCCAGGCCAACAAACCTGATCTTGTCCTTTTTGATAAATCCAATGAAATCATTTATATCATTGAATTTTCTGTCCCTTTGGACTCTTATGTGATTGGCAAGATTCAGGAAAAACATGTAAAATATGCGGCCCTCGCTTTCGAAATATCCCGCTTGCATCTCAAGGACCAAGTTGCCCGATTCATTGTTCTCGATGCCTTTGGTTTTGAACATACGATTCTATTTACTGACATTGGGAGAGTACTCGGGATGGATAGTGTTCACCACATCCGCCAGACTGACAAAGAGAGCGTGAGAGAACAGAAAAGTTGTCCAAGGATGTTAAGATCCACAACCAGATCGGCATAGTGTCCACCACCCCATATGTTTCAGTCTGATGCGTTCTACACATGTCTGCTTTAAAGGAGTGTAAAAGCCTTGCAGAGGCCTTGCATGTTGCCACCCTGGTCGAACAACTTTTGAGCAACTTTTTATGCTCTTGGTAATTTTCGTCAAAGGAGCATGACCAATTGCACCCTAAAATTGTGAAATACTGGAACTGCTTGAAGATTCCTTGATGTGAAGGAAAAGTTGACAGTTGTAAGCTGAAGCCGTCCCTCTTGTCACACAGAATGTCAACCAGGGAATGTTCCTCAAAGCATTCACAGATCTAATCTGAAAAATGTTCTCCGTTAGATCCATTCTAAAAGGTGCACTTGTGCCACAGAACTGTTTGAACACTTGAACTCTTTTTGTGGCACAAAGTCCAGCAAATTATCCTGACAACATCATGTATTTCTACATTTGGGAATCCACTTGGGCTGAAGCCTTGTGGTGTTGATTTCTTGTACTGTCACCATTGAGTGTAGCATCATATCCACCACACAAGCCCTATCTCGTAACACACTCACATTTAGGCAATTATATAAAATGTCTGTTTTAGGCAATGCGACAAGTTATGGGAGTTTTGCTTCGGTTTCAGCAATATTGTCAATTTCTCAACTATTCAAATTGGGCTGAACATGGGCCTCGTAAGGTTTTGTTTGATTACAAAAATATAGAGTATCAGTTCTTTTTTAACTTCACTTTGTAAAGTACATCACGAATATAATCAACAGAATGAGCCGTTACTGTTTTAATAACAATGATACTGTTTCATATATGCTTGAAGACATGTTTAATATCGTTTTCATCGAATAGTTTCAGAAACGTATTCTCAGCGAATTGACTTTCCAAAAAATAGTTTTACGGTTATTTTGTTTGCTACACTTTACTAAGGAAGAAATGCATCTCTCCTCATATTGCTCAGTGAGATTCCAATGGTTTCAGTGTATTTGTT